TGGGGTGATATTCTATCAAATTTGATAATTTCATAATCATAATTTCTCTTCATTGGTAACTAACATTTACATTCAATTCTTTGTAATAAATCTGTGAAAATGTTAGTTACCAATGAAGGGAAATCATAGGCAAAACTGATAGAATACCAGTCAAGCTTTATGGCCTACCCAGGAAACACAAACCAGTCACCCCATAGTATCCAGGATTAACAGCACTTCCATATATATTGTTATATAGCATAGCTATGAACACTAATGGTTATTTCCCAATTGTCATAGATATATTGGACACTATTGTAAGACAGAGTAATATGTTGTCTAAGTAGTCCACCACTAGCAGTGGTTTACCTACTTCATGCCACTGGCAAGTATTGTATTTTGTTGATGTTATAAAGATTACCATTTCATTTCCAACCTCTGTTTTGATTATTCCTCATTCAGTAACCCTTTCTAGGTTACAGCATATATATAAAGAATTAATGGATTTATTTTTAATCTAACATATTTATTACTTCAAATGTTACTATAGTAGAGCAATATATTTGAAATAGACGTCCCATGTGCATTTGAGAAATCCTAGAAAAGAAAAATATGTTCCTCAGGTTTGATCCCTGTTGGGGAACAAAGTTTTCTTTACTAAGATCTCTCAAATGGAATATGCTGACTGAAAGATATAATACACACTGTTTAATAAATGAACATGGAGTGTCTATTTCAAATACAGAGTGACTGCTATGGTAATATTTGAAGTTATAATATATGTATGTATGTGTGTGTGTGTGTGTGTGTGTGTGTGTGTGTGTGTGTGTGTATGCATAGGCACAAAATACATGAGTAGATGAAAACACTTATTTTGAGATCTGTGATATCAACACCTTTAATAGGCATGCATTTGCTGGTATAAATAAATGTACAAATACAGATTTCAATATTTTTCACATGCCAAGTCCTTCTTGTGATACAAGAGAGTTTAAATTAAGTTGCTTACAAAAATTAATAGCTAAATTCACCAAACATTTCTAGTTTTATTTGTATGATGAGTCTATAAAAATTCTCCATCAAAATCTCTTTACAAAAATGTTTATTCAAAATTTTAATTTTTTTTCCAAATGACAATGGCTAAAGTTAAATCAAAGAATTGTGAATTTTTTTAAAGATACAATCTGTTATTTAGCATTTTTTTCATTATAAATTGAAATCCTCACCATTTTAGCAGCAAATTCCCTGATTTTTATTAAGAAATTTAATACCAGCTGTTTTGAAAGGATCTCAGCTCAGTCTAAAAGTGACACAATTGACAAAATCGAATTTTTTGTAGGGCTCAGTTATCTCCCTTGATTTAGAAATTGATCATTAAGAAATTAATTTTTTAAAAATCATTTCACCTCAAGCAAGGCAATAAAGCCACTAAATTTTATGATTTTTCCGACCAATCAAATTAGGAACCACCAAGATAAGATAAAAGATTAAGAGATTTCACAGTAATAAAAGCTACAACTGAAGTCAATTTAATCATAATTTGTGATAAACACATTGCAAAGTGCCATATACAAATATCTTTTTTTTTCTTATCCTCACTGCAACAAGCTTTTCTTAATAACATATCCGACCTTATGTGAAAGACTGGTCAAAAACTATTAATGCCAGTTCAACTGATTATACATAAAGTTCTTACTTATTCATGTATTTTCTTTAATTCATAATCTTTATTTACAGATTATCTATTTTAGAAGCATATATTTTCTTGGTACTCCATTAATGCTAATTTTAATTTATGTCCTTGGAGATATACAAGCTTGACAAAATGACAAGATTTTTCAATCAAACTATAATAATAAAAAAACAAACAAATGATAGATAATGGCATTCCATTGTCTATTGCAGTTTAAATAATTCTTGTATTTCATTTTATTTCAAACATAAATATTAGAATTTGATATTGTGGCCATAATTTGTTTAAATACACTCTCTGTAAACAATGGGTTCTAACCAATTATATAATATAACAATGAAGGAATTTTAAAATAAGGAATCTACAATCAAAAGATAAAAAAAACAACTTTGAATTATATGAAAGAAATCAGACTTACATAAAAGATTTAAGACTGGATGCAGTAACATAATTCTGTAAAAATGATTCTTATTTTTTAGAGCTCTTTCAGTCTTCTAAATGTAAGCCAAACCTCACCTTAGATACCACGACATAATGCAATAGACAGACACAGAACAACAACTATGTTGGTGCATCTGAAATTAATTAGAAGAAAATATAGACAATTTTTAACTAGACACTTTTATTTCTAAAATCAAATGCAATAAATTCATCTTTTTTTATTGACTGTTGGAAGTGACATGAAAAGTGAACTTGTTAACAATAGTTCTAAATGCCAAGTATATTTTATGTAACATATTAATTTCATTTCATTTTCTCAAAGGTTTAACTCATTTAAGCAGGAACATAATTTCTTATATACCAATATTTGATTTATGTTTTCATAAAATGCAGAAAATGACTTTTTTAGATTTCAATACCTGGATGTTGAAATTCTGGATTATTATGTAATTTGTTTAAAAAACGAGCACCTAGTGTCAGTTTTTCTTTCAAATACAAAAACTCTTTCAGAAATATTGCAAATGGGGAAACAGTTGTTAACACAATTTAGAGGTTAGTACAATGAAATTTTGTCTGAATCTTCTTAGAAAAGAGGATTAAAACAAAATATATTATATTTACTCATTATTAATTATATAATTCCATATAATCACACACACACACACACACACACACACACACACACACACACACACACACACACACACACACACATCCAAGGCTCTTGAATGATAGTTGGCAGCTCAAAAACATAAAATGAGAACATTTCTATAATGAGACAAATTTTACAGAAATAAAACTGTTGCACGTTGACATTTGTGGGAATAAAGATATTTTGATTGCAGAAAAATATTTTGGACATTTCTAATTTTTATTTTATAACTGTTTTCCTTCATTTTTGTTTGAATCTGAAAATACAATCTCAAAGTTGCTAATGAAATATTTGGCTCCCTGGTTATTTATTATCACCAAGTTAATAGGAGGAAAAATATCTTTGATTGATCATTTTCCATTTCTATTTAGAGAGGACCTTCATTTGATAAATAATTCTGATTATTATCAATATTTTTGGCTGCATTGTCAAACCAGACTCTGCTTGATTTAAAAAACTGAATCTCTTCAATGTAACTTAAACAATTTTTTCAAATAGCATGGTTCCAATTTGACAGGTTCACATTTAATACTGAAAAGTTACAAAGAAAGGCAAATAATCATAAAATTTGAGTGCTTGTTTTTCAAATCATTTTCTTTTATGACAACAATGTCAAAATTTAACAAAAGCAAATGAATATAATGAATCAAAGATAAAAATTAAAATGAATAAAATTAAAAAAAAGACATTAATATTTGCTTAATGTTATGATTGAAAAGAAAAACTATAGAAAGAAGTAAATTTTTTTCTTCCAATGTTATTAATTAATAATTCAAGTTAAATTTGAATGAATTTCATAAATAAAGAAATAAAATAAAATCACAGTTTTCATTTTTGAGAAAAATATTCTTTGTCACCTGTAGAAGATAAATATAAATAGAAGGAAATAAGAACATAAACTTTGATTTTAAATCAGGTTGAAAATTTCCAATCAGTGAGAAGGGAGAAAATAAAAGGAAATGATTAAACTGACTTAACAGAAAAAAAATATATCAGATTTTGGAAATAAGGAAACCAGAACTATAGGTAGTAAAGGTGTCTTTAAAAGAGCACACCTTATAATAGTGTAGATAAACCAACTGTTTTTCTTTTCATCATTTAAACATATTTCTTGTATTGGAACCAAAATATTTGTAAAGAGGCCAGAAAGTAATTTGGATCAAGCAGCATTTCTGCATTGCAATAAGAGCTAAAAAAAAAAACTTTTACAACTTCTGTCAATAACAATAGTCAGTAAAAAGTTCAGAAGGGAAAATAGTGGGGGTCCCAAAATATGCTTGTGTTGGTGGGGTAGGATTGGGTAAAGATTGCTACAGTGCTTTGTGCTGTTTGAACAGGGAAAATGAGAAAACTGTTGAGGGCAGATAAATTCATTTGGGACATTCCCCATGATGGAAGTTACATCATGTTCCAAAGTTGCCACAATATTTCCAGAGTTATGACCCTTGCATTATCCAAGTTTACAACTGTGGATTATGGTGAGATAAAATATATATTACCTCTGTCTCATAATAGATGTTACATCGAATTTATGAAATATGTATGCAAATTTTACGACTATTATGAAGCAGAAGTAATAGTAAATTAAAGAAAAAAATAAAAATTTATAAAAAAAAAAACAACAGGGGTAATGTTCAAGTTTTAAATGGTCCACACAGATCCATTGGTAGCAGCAGCAAAATATGTTCAATTGTCAAAAATATGTTAATTTTTGAATCAATCATGTTTCACATTTTTAGATTTAGTTTTGGACAGTATAGAAAAAACCATTCTAGCACTTGAGAATAAATTCTTTCAGAGTTTTAAAGTAATTTTGTTTGTCTTAGAGAGACAAACAAGCTATAACATATTTTAACTGCTGCTACCAATAATTACAAAAAGAACCAACCAGTGTCCATATTTGGGTTGGCCAGCACACTCTGCACTGGGAGGGTGGGAAGAGATCTGGCCAAACCTTGGGGTTCACTAACCTGTTATTTTTGGCAGTCTATTTTTATATGAAGTTTGTGATTTAGTTGTGGACAACTAATTTTAAAAGCCATCTAAGCATGAATCTATAACTTGGTCTTAGGCATTCAATGAGATTGTACATTTGGAATAGATTTTTCATTGGATATTTTTGTGGCAGGGAGACATTTTGATTTATAAGAGTCAGGTAATTCCAACCTCCATGCACAGATAAAGCACAAGAGCCAAGCGAGACACTTGCCTTGTTGTTGTGGACATTGCAGAATTTTAATCAAGTAACAAACTGAATGTGGTATGGTAGGCATCTTCTCTAATGTTGGTTGCCCACACAGAACACTTGATCGTCACTGCAACTGATTTTTGAATTCCTTTGAACATGATAAACACCAAAGGTGACAAATAATTTTCCTGACCATGATATGGATAATAGTACAGAGGAAAGCCATCTGTTGGGGTGTAAATCACTTCACCCATATTTTCTTGGTCCACAGGAGTCTGAAAATAAACAAAAAACTCAAAATTATGATGAATTAATGGTAGGACTCACTCTCAGGAGGAGATTTGGATTTTCAATGAGAAAATAAATTTTCTTATTTTAAAACAAAGTCAAAGTTGTTAAGTAAAAATTTCAAGAAATATTCATGGGCACATTTTGTTTTAATTGAACTTTATTGATTGATTTCAATTTTGATAAAAAATTCATAAAACAAAGTTACAACTGTACATGAAATTTTACTTTTTTTCCTAAAACATATGCTTTAATGTCTGAATTTTTTCTAGCTTTTAAATTAAATGGTACTACTTCTTTTCTTATAGGTCAAGTCCTTTCAGAACTAGGCAATCATGGCTCTCCACCTCCTCCTGTCTTTTGTTGCTTTAAGTAATTTTTTAGCCATTACCATCTGTCTTTGTCCCTGTTCTTGGGTATTAACCATAGTGACACATTAGTGACGAGACCTTTGTTAAGATATTTGACAGTAGTACAGAGTACAGGGAAGTGGAATAACCAAAGTCATATGAAGGAAATATAGAGTTATTAGTGTAGGGAAAATAGGATTCATACCTTTTTTAAAGGCTTTAGTACAAAGTGAACCAAAATGGCTTCAGCTAGAATTTGGTCTTGGTTCACATATTCTATTTACTGTATGGATAATCATTTTTTACTTTACATCTCTATTATGAAAATATCTGTCTTCATCTTTTCTAGTTTATCATATTGAGATAAAAGTATGTGCATGTAGTGTAGCAGTTATCGACATAGTGGAATTGGCATGCCATGTTCAAATTCCATCCAAGTTTATTGTATCCCTTTTCACATAAATACTCTTGGGAAAGGTATGCATCTCTTCTCCCTCCAGCTATGGATTAAATAGCAAAGCAGATTTGGCTCTCTAGCCTTAACAGGCAATCAAGAGGACAACTCTGAATTCAAAATGTTTGAGTGTTGGACTTGGCAACTCCACCGTGTAAAAACCTACTCACTACAAAAAGCACAGTATGGTGAGGCTGTGACCTTATACTCCATGGCAGGACTATAATGGCTAAATGTGGAGAAGCTATTTAAATGAATATCCATTGATTCCTTTAAACATATATAAAAAAATCCATGAATAAATGATGGTAAAAATAAGCTGAGAAATGATATCCTTACATCTCCTTCACATGTTATTGGCAATGTCCATGGTCCTATATCATCAGTGTCATCAAGATTCTCTGGAAAGTTGGTATCATTGCGCGAAAATGGAACTGGTCGTAATTCTTTTGGCTGCAAAAAGATTAAAAATCAAGGTTCAATTAAAACCACAGGACAAAACAAAATCATAAAACAGAAAATGACTTGAATGTGAAAGTTGTAAAAATGAAGAAATTGAACATAATGAAGGACTTGTATGATATGAGGTTCAGCTTAGCAAGTCTCAAATAAAGAGCTTCAAGTTTATTAAATGGAGAAAACTACTTAAACCTAATTTCAAATATTATTTTACCTCTTCACACATTTGAGGTGCCTGTCTTAGAGTGATGCTTAGAAGCTAGTATGTAATGATTTTTATCCTTGCTGGATGGATCCAACATTGTGGCTTTGTACCATATTAAACTAAGAAATATTTAGAAAAAGAGAAATGCAATATGTATATCCTAGCCTCCTTACATTTGGCCTTGTGCTACACTAAGTTTCATAAAAGATGATAGTAGAGATAAAATTTGTATTTAAAATTTGTATTAAAATTTGCAATATATAGTGCCAGAAGCAAGAATATTTCAAACATAACATAATATAATTTTAAGCATAGAATGTTTTGAAGTGCATCAATCTTTTTTAATTTTTATGCTGGATAAGTTTGAATATTAGAATATTTGTATTTTCAAAAAATGTTCTGGAAAAAAAAGAAGATATCATCTATTCAATTATTCAGATTGAAATCTCAATGAAAGCATTTCCTGCCTTAAGCTAAATTCAAATTTTGATCTCCAGCCAATCTTGAAGGTTTCATTCAATCCAAAATCCTTTCTTGCAACAATCAATTTTAATCCATTTTATTCATATAAACTTAATAGTTATATTTTTTCTTTCTCACTGCAGTTTCTGGAGAGTTAATCACTTAATCATCATATCTTTCCTTTGTTCTCATATCTAAATATCCATTGCAGTTCACTTCACTCATAAAATAGAACTTAAAGTAACCATCAAATGAGAACTCTTTTCATTGAAGTTTTTATTATGACAATGAAAATATAAATCTATAACTTATTTCTTGTAACTATTTTTTCAAATACAAACAAAGTAGATTTATTATTTCCTGGATTTTACCATATTTCACCCAAACATCAAAAAGTAATCTGAATTTAATATTCAACAAATATTAAAATACATTAAGAAAAACCTAATTTAATTTTATAAAAAAATAAACAAAAGTGAACATTGAACTTGCTAGACTCAAAAGAATACAAAAATAAATAAAACCAACTGAAAAAAGAATTCAAAATCAGATTGTCTTTAATAATCACAATTAAAGCTAGGAGATAAGAATATGAATATTGGGACACTGAATATTGGGCTTAGTATAGCTGAGGGTCACAAGAGTAAGGCACCTAGTGATGATTGGGGTTAATAAAGGTAATGTGTGTTATAACAAGTGTTTGTGATTGGCCACTGTATCGCTTTCATTATGAGGGGATTGTTTCATGAACCAGACATTATGCTTGGAGCCTATGCACAGAAAATAACTTTTTTAATTTTGCTTTTTGCCTTCTTGGTATTCACATCCCCCTGGCATGTAGAATGAATCTGAAAGAGATCTTATTGCAGCAGAGTATAATATGTGTATATCTTGTTAAACACTCTCATTGCCAGCCAGCCAGCCAGCCAACCAGCCAGCCAACCAACCAACCAACCAACCAACCAGCCAGCCAGCCAGCCAGCCAGCCAGCCAGCCAACCAACCAACCAACCAAGAGGTAATGTTTTGGTTGATTAGTTTTAAAGAGCAAGTTGGAATGAATAAAGCAAATGAAAATTAAATCATTTAAATTCCCTCTATTTCTTGCTTCTTATTTCTTGAAAACTGAACTTAAAATGAATAGTAATCATTGTAATCTGTTTCTTTTCATAAAATCTAAGAGAAATATTAAGTTTTGACTGAATCATATTATATTTGATGGCATTAAAAGAATTTCATGATAACCTTGGATTCCTGAATGTTGATGCTACTGACAAAATAAATTTAAAGTTGAGTGAAATCTTATAAATTGAGCAATGTACTCTATAATTTCCCAAAGTCTAGACAGATAAAATTAGAAGAAAAATCAGATAGTTTTTAAACAAATCAATACAAAAAAAAGAAAGAAAGGGTTATTTATAACTTGATAAAAACAACGAAATTAGGAGTTTCTTTTTTAATCAGATATATGCAAAAATTTAAAATAATATATTAATATAATATAAAATATAATAATAAATTTAAAATAATATTTTCAATTTTAAAATTTTTAAGAGTATCTGTTATGGAATTTTTGGTTCTTTCATTTCAAGTATCAAATCTAGATAAGAAAGTTTCACTTTGAAAATGTTCTAGTGCTGCAGAATTCTCATTGTTGCTGCGGTCATTCTGACAATAAACAAGAAATCTTTCAAAATAATAAAAAGTAAAAATTTCTCAAAGATTATAAAAAATATTCCATTTCATATTTGATATGCCAAAAACTTTGAACAACATAGGCAACAATTTTCAATTATTTATGTTTTATTTATTTACTTAAAATAAATAAATTTTGTTTTTTGCCATTCTTAAAGTACTCTAAAATTTTGAAACATTTCAAGTGACCTGATGTTCATTTCAAATGACCTGATGTTCACCATGTTGTAAGGCTCAGGCAGTTTATTATATTTGGGATGTTTTTATTAATAACATAGTGGCCACAATTTTAACAATATAAGATATGCAGGACACTGTATTGATGGCAAATACAGAAAAAAACTGTGGAAATTTCTAGACAAGATAGTAAAAGAAAGCAGGAAAAATGGACACACCATCAATTGTAAGAAAACAAAAATATATGATCATTAGCAAAAGCAACAACTGAAGATATAAGCTATGAATTGGTGATGTTAAAATCAAGTACAGAAATATAATTATCTGGGAAGTATTTTAACAGAGGACAGAAAATGTGACAGAGAAATCCAAAGGCACATTGGAATAGTGAAAGATACCTTTTAAATGCTAAACAAAGAAACAGGAACATTTTCTTAGAAACAAAGAAAAGAAAGCTGAATAAGATATAATATAATTTCTCCTCTATGGCAGTTAATACTGAATAATTTATGAAGAAGAAACTTGAAGCAACAGAGATGTTCTACAGAAGGATGCTGAGAATACAATGAATGTAGTATGTGAGCAATGAGGGAGTATTAAGGAAAATGGAAACAAAAAGGACACATACATAGAATAAAAAAAAAATTCTAGGACAGAGAATGAGGAAAGAAGATTTGCATAATTTTGACACTCACAGAAAATACTGAAGACAAGAGGGTCAACCTATGTAATGAGCTTGTGTAAATGGTAGGCAAAATAGGGATTGGGGAGAGAGTGATAAGGAAACAAACATTATTTAGAGCTACAAAGAATAGGAAGTTGTGAAGAGCTATGATCGTCTGCATCTTGAAAGGACAGATAAAAAAAGAAGAAAGAAGCCAATTGTTCATGTCTGCTATTAGATGCTGTATATAAGCAAAATTCTATTTGCTCTAAAATCTGATGTGAAATATTTTGTTTTTTTGCAGAATATAAATCTAAGAATTAATGATGCAAACACATTTTTGTAACATTCAAATATTAACATAATCTAGTGTTTCTACTTTTTGACTTTGAAATTATAATTCATGATCAATGATACTAAACTGAATGATTAGACAAAGAAATTAGGTTAACAACTTAGAGAAAAAAATTAAACACAGTTATATGCTTCAGAATGTAATGAAATCCTGGTTGATTTCTTTAACATATTTCTTTCCATGAAACATTAAAAGTTGGATCAAGTTGAGCTTAAATAAAAAAAACATCTTTGTATCTGACCATCTCGTTTTCATTCGTTCATCTTTTACCAGCTTGATAACACTTTGGACTGGTATAACCTTTTATAGAGTTAAGCCACTCTCTACTGTAAACAATCAGATAAAAGTTAATACTAAATTTACATCTGTGGTCTGATTACACCCACATATTTTCTTGTCAGGAATGCCAAGATACAAAACCTCATGGGCAATTTCAATTGAAAAGTCTGTTTTGGTGGTTTTACCAGAAATCAACATTTCTTTCTTTGGATGGTTTCTAATTTTGAATCCCTAAATTTGTTTCTCTGTTAAGTTTACAATGAATTGCTTTAAAATGCTTTTATTTAAGGCTGGAACCACTTTTGACTTCTAAATTGTTATTGAATGTTGGAAAAATAATTTGAAAATTATCTTCTTTTAGTTTTTTTTTAGAATATTCATGAATTTTTCCAGTGACCTGAACACCAATTAATGATGCAATCACTTATTACTTATATTTAGAAATACTTTCTTTGTGACTCTGCAATCTTTCTAGTCTCAATGAAATTCTATCTTTGACCATTCTTAGATTATTTTAGTATGTTTGGCATTAAAAAAAACATAAAATATGTCTTCAGTTTCTAGTTGGAATGGGTTGATTGCTGTGAAAGCATTCATCTTCAGCATAGAGATTCCCTTTCTTACAAGCTGATGTTTATATTCCATTAAATCATTGGGGAACTGGGAATTTTATTTCAATAGCAATTTGCTTTTAAGGATGAAAAATTTAATCCCATTCTTCAATTTAAGACTGTTGAAAGAATTCATATTATATCAAATCCCAAATTATAGCAAATAGCTTTCATAACATTTTTCTTCAGTTTTTATTTATTACTAAAAAACAAAATTTAAATGATAAAATTTCAAATCTTATTCTAAAATGTCACCATACAAAATCTAATCCAAACTGCCAGTGTATTGAGCACAAAATCTTATCTGTCACTAGAAAAAATTAAGGAAAATGGGAAATCAACAACTGGTAGAATTTAAAGTCAAACAAAGGCACAATTCTGTTAATGGTTAGAGTTTAACAGTACAGAGAAATTCCATGGTGAAATCAGACACATGAATTTTGAATCATTCAGCCTACCACTGCACACTGATACATACTTTAAAACTTTAGGTAATTTTTCATTCTAACCTAGTCAATATCACCAATAAAAACTCAAATGAGTTTTACTTTCTACATAACCTTAGACTTTAGCTTTATACTGATTTAAACAACCAAAATGAAAGAAATTTTGACATGCATCTTAAATTTTTTTCTTTTTCTCCTTTTTGGTAAATAAATTTTTCAGTTTGCAAATTTGAACAATTTGTACCCAACTTTAAAAATGAAAGTTGTAGAATATATTAATCTCTCCAAAAACTTATGACTAAGACAAAATAACAAAATGATATGCATCAGAAACTGTTTGGAATAATGGAAACATTCAATCTTCGAATTGAAAATACTACCACCACCTCCACACCACAATTATCAGCACTCAGAACCATGAGGGAGATAACAAAATGAGGCAAGAAATAATAAATAATCAAAGTGTGTGTGGCCTATCAATAGTTTAGTGGTCAGTTTGTACAGGTGTTATGATATATAATGAGTTCTTGAATGTAAATTTTAGTTTTGTCTAAAAGTGATATCTTTGTTTTAACTTTCCACATTTAGCTTTTAATTCAGTCAAAAAGATTGTGATAAAAACAAATGAAAAATAAATATGAAAAATTGTGACATGAATGTGATTCTGTAGACAAAAATGATGAGTGAAATCTCTCGGATAAATTCAAACTACAAAAAAGTGAACAATTTTCAAATATCAGAAAGATTTTTGTAAACAATGAGTAGCCAAAAACATATAATAATATTTTTGTGTGATTTATATACAGAGATAAATATCAAGTTATCTAAAAAACATTATATTTTGATATTTTCATTCATCAACTTAAAGAAATAATCAGTATGCAAAAATTAATCTTGAATTTCAAAAAGTGTCACTAATTTGAAATACTAAGTGAATAAAGTTGTCATATCACTCTGACACTCATTGTGAGCAGATTTTCCTAATAGAGAAAAAGACTGACTACAGTAAGTATGGTGTGGGAAACATCTACTTAGTATTTGCATTTCAAGACTGAAATCAGAATGGTAAATGTCATTTAATAAAAGACAACTCCAACACAAATTCCAGTTTGGAAGAAAACAGCTTTTTTGTCAGTTATACCAGGAATAACAGCAAACATACAAAACTAATTACACCAAAATATTGGCAATTATATCAAATAAAAATAATAATTTTTATTGATAAAATCTAAGATAAAAGACATGGATTTATTTGAGAGAACCTTTCTAGATTTGATAGAGTCTCCTGAATGCATAAGAATGTTGAAAACAGAAATATTTCAAAGGTACCAAACTTTGCTTAAAAAAAAGTTTAGTGTCCTTACCAAACGCAGTGTCAGTACAAGACATGGAGAGTATGAATTACTGGGTGTATATCCATATAACTGCTCACTGATACATAAATTTCCAGCACGACCAAGAGGAACTCTACAGGCTTTGTCTAAAAAAGGGCTGCAAGCCATCATACCATTGCAATGGATAAAGTTATCAGACTGCTGCTTCTCATCTTGGTAGGCTGCAAGGAAAGGAAACCATGATAGAAAATATATAATTCATAGGAAAATTAAATTAGAAACCACAAAAAGATAAGTGAATTGAAAGTTAGAATTACAGCCAATACATTTATTAAAATAGGATATACTTTTTTTGACATTCATCTTTTATTGAGTAACTTATTTTATCATTTTGCATTTGATTGATTGATTCAAGTTTGTTTTAAATTTGTGTTCAATTAAAATATTTTAGAGTCTCCTGATTTACTATAAAAAAATCATACAAAAAAAAAGTCACTTAATGAAATTGGCCTTCTACTGTGTTTTCCTTTTTATTCCATTTATCATCTTCTATCTTCCTTTTATTTGCTAACAGCAGCTGGCATGTTTGTATCATATTTATCACCTTGAATTCTGCTAGGATTCATCAAGTATTAGCATGCATCACAATAAACATTTAATCTCACTTAATCCTAAACAAATCCTTCAATGTTGCAATATCTTAAATTGTCAAATCTTACATTAAAACATTTGATAAATAACATGCTTTTTTTAAATATAAATCTGATCAACCTTTTAGGAATTTTTACATTAAAATTCTATTTCCTTCTCACTTCATTCATTGAGTAAAACTTGACCAAAGTGTATTCTGATACTTTATACAAATACCACAAGATTGGACTATAATATATGACTTATTTTAAATGCCATCTCCATTCAGAACATGTTATTATGGCTCTTCATAGATTCCTTTTTCTTTATTATTTATGAATTGCCATGGCTTCTTGAGAAAAATAGTGAAACTTGATGAGTGTCACAACTGTTTTCTTGGTAATATGGATCAGGTAGTAGTTTCTGCTGATATTTCTTTTGTGTCCTTTATCAGAAAGGAATCCCACTATGCACAAGACTTTTTTTCTGCTACAAGTGTACTGATTGGGATTGATTTCATGACTTTCTGCTCCTTGGATTGAGTCACAAAATGAAAGTGGTCCTGATCAGTTCTCAACTTGGTATCTATGCTGCCTTGATAGTAAGTCTGATCAGTTCAATTAGATCAAATTGGTGGCTGATCTTAAAAATGATCTAATTTCTGTTGTTACCTAAGGCAAGGAACAGCTTGTTAATTTTAACACCTCAAAAACAAAACTGCTCTCTTTTAATCATCTGTGAGAACACTTTTAGCCTTCCATCAGCATGGATGATGCTAACCTTCAGGAGAGTGATTCATTGTGCCATCTCAGACTAATGTTTTCTGCTGACATGAAGTGGAAAAATTATATTGAATCAATTGCTAGTTCTGCTTCTAGGAAACTTGGTTCACATTGTCATGGTAGACAATTTTTGAATCTATCTTATATATTTTATAAGTCTACGTTCATCCTTGTTTTGAATACTGCTGCTGCATCTAGGTCTAGTGGTCCAAAGGAGAATCTGCAGTGTTATTCATCCTGACTTGCTATCTTGGCTTCAGTCACTTTCTCACCACAGTAATGTAGCTTCCCTGTGTCATTTTTATAAATACTTTCATGGTAAATGTTCTGATCAACTTTCCTCTATGGTACCTAGACTTTAAGAATTTAAGCTAGGTACCTTCACTAATTTGGTATTCATAAGGTTTAGAATTTATTTTTAAAAATGAAAAAGCTTTCTTGAAGCTTTCATTTTAGCTAAAGGATTGAAAATTGAAAGCTAAAGGATTTAAAATTTACTATTTCCAGTAAGCAAAATACTCTATGGTGTATTTCAAATGCAAATTATATTGATTGGAATTGATTTTGTTTTTCAGTAAAATCAATAAAAATCGACCATTTTTGACACATTTGTAAGCAAAAGTTAATTCTTGATTTTAAAAATCTTGCAAAAATAAAATATATATTTCTGAAATGTTGTTTGAGGAAAATTAACAAATTTAAATTAATCTGATTTGAAACAAATATTACTTATGGTGTAAAATGTTGTATACAAACATTTCTTAATTATGAGGTCTTGTTTTTCTGATGTGTTAATTGATTTATTAACAGTGGATTGACACCTGATCATATTCATAGTTAAGTATGGTGGAGGCATACAGTTTATAAGTGTTATAGACAAGCGTATGGTTGCAAGAAAGAAATACGACAACAGTAGAAATAGATTTACGTGGTTTATTTCAACAGGAATGTGAGGGTTTGGGACAGCTACCTTGTGGTAAAGTTCATAAGCCGGCTTTTGGATCTAGGTCAATCTCTCATAGTAGTTCACACATGTTGACGGTGGTTGATGCTCCCCTGCTGCTGATCGCTCGGCCTGACCGTCAGGTCTGTTCGCTGGCCACCTGTGGACTGCCTGTTGAACTTCCGTGTGACCCCTTTTATAGCGTTTTTTTATGGCTTAACAGGCTCAAGAAACGAAGCGAGTATAATTAGGAGGGAAGCATTTTTATTAGACGAAAAATAGAGCACTTTAAATATTATTTTATTTTTCGACCGGAACACGTGTGTCGGGAACATTTGTAAAGAAAGATAATGGTCATTTTGTGACGGGGCTTTGTCCCGTTCACATCCAGTTCTCGCTCTTGAGTATTTGCCTGTAAATCAGCCGAGATATGTCTTATTTTATTTTATAACATAAGGGAGACAACCCTTAGAAAATGTAATCTTTTAATGATAGATTTATTGGTTAGTACATCCATACTTCAGAAATTCTGCATGTAATCATATATTCAAAAACAAAAGTAAATACAGACTTACTTAATAACAATATTTTCTAAGAATTATCACACTGAAAGTGAATTTCAAAAGATTTAAAAACTTTATAAATTATTCAATTTAAAATTGATAAGGATGAAAACTTGTAAAATTCATTTTTTGCTGAAAAAGTTGTTTTTTTCTTCAGATAATATTATTTTTAATATATATTATTCATAAAAGCAATTAAAAGCTTCTCTCATTAAATAATGTCTTAGTTTTATTTCTTTTTTTTCAATTCAGAACACATTTTGCTAAAAAAAAAATTGATGATTTAAATTCTTTAAATAATTCTGCTTTTAACTAATATAGTCACTAAAAATTATATTGTTGAATTTCTCAAGTTTTCATAAAATTAAGGAAGAGGCTGAAACACATGTAAAACAAAAATATTGTTATCAAGATTTTCTAAGAAAAAAATTTAAAAAATAATTTCATTCATTTGTGAATAAGTTCTGAAAATTTCTTTAAAAATCTGACAATTATTTGATTTTTTCAAGAATTTCCAAATTAATGTGTCAGTCACTGCAAAAAAGAGGCTAAAATTTGTTATGCTAAAAGTTAGTACAACCACTGATGCAAGAAAAACAGGATTTTAATCAAAATTTGAAATATTCTAAAAAGGAGTAAAAAATTTAATTAAATAATCAAAAAATACTTTGATCCTTCCTCTTAATAATAACACAACGATTTTGAGGATAAAACTAAATTTTCATTATGTTTTGGAGCAGGGTTTTTATTAGGGTATGCTGATTTTTTAACATTTTTGTGGAGATACCGAATTTAAGTGCAGTACTAGATTGGCAACAAGGTCTCATCATTTTACAAGTGAAATGACTAAATGTAACTGTAACTTTTATGTTAACAGTTTCTTCTATCACACTTCTCACTTGTGGAACTCTCTCTTGGCTTTTTGCTCCCCAGTCAACTTTGATCTTTTAAAATTTAAATGCAATGTCAATCTTTATCTACTGTCTTCTTAATTTTAGTTCTTTTATTGTTCACTCTCTGCAATAATTTTTTTCTCATATTCTCTAACCCTCAGTAACTGCTTGTGTCTTAGTGACTTTATTGCCTTGATTAGGGTGGAATAATTTAAAAAAAGAAAGAAAAGTGATTTTCCAAGGTTTTGAATTGATAGTAGTTATTCTCTTTGACTGGTTGTCACTTAAGGCTAGAGAGACCAGTTTAACCTGCTATTTAGCCCTTAGCTTAGAGAAGAGATGGATTTATGACTTTACCAAGGGTATTGAACTAGATGGGATTTGAATTCAGATAGTCAATTTCATTTTCTATACTAATAACTATTTTGCTACTCACATATCCATTAGACTTCAACCAACTACTTGTTTAATTATGTTATCATTCCAGAGAATCTGTGTTGGTTTTAGTTATTAAGCAAATCTCAACAAATTCAGTAAATGACTGATTGAAAAGAAATAAAAAAGATGTTTTAAAATAAAAATTTCTATTAAGAGAACAAGTTGGACTTGTTAATATTAATTGTATCCTTGTTTTGAGATGCTTCAAAAAATCTGAAGAGATGATTAAAAGGATTTAAGAGACAAGATTGTGTGTTTTGTTAGAATCTTCCAGGATGAGAAGAAAATGTCTCTTATGTAAAGAAAGAAGAATTAGGGATGTAGTAAGAATTCTGAAAAAGATGATAGAAGAAGAAAGTAAGATAGAATAAGAGCCTGAAATGAAAAGAAATGCTTGTACATAGCAATTCATTCAATTGTCTTTTCTTATGGGAAGTAATTATTCTCTGGTGACATAAAGATAAAAACATCAAAGAGTTCACGAGAGACTGTATATAGCCATGTAAATAGATATATTTATACGTAAATAAATGTGTGTATAATTGTACATATGCATATAAATATATAAACTGACAAATTTTCAGGGTTTGAAGATACTGTTTTTATCCTTGAATTCTGTATAATTTCATGGAAACAAAACTAAAGCAAACAAAAACAAATCATAAACAAAATTAAAAATGATATGAAAGTTGAATTTTGATTAAAAAGTGAATATCAATTGAGTTACTGATTTGCCTTTTATGTCTAGGTCAATGAACAATAAACACAAGAATAAAATTAATTCATTGCATACTGAAACAATAAAGGTATCACCAAGTCATTTATAACCTGGCAACATTGGAACTTTAAGCAAAAACTCAGATTTTAATCCTAAGATTTGAGTAAAATTTCAAACATTATGTAAGAAATAGATTTTCCAGAAAAAATGCTTTGTCATGATGTAAATTAGTTTCCTTCTTCCATGTTATTTGA